ACAAGGCGGCAGCCAACCAGTCGTCGACACAAGCTAAACGGCGAAGATCGTCGAAGGACGAAGAAGTGCCTTTCAACCCAGATTCGGGCAAGCTCCACGAGGTGCACCGTGGCCCGTTTTCGTACAGTGACCAGGAGAGCGAGTCACCGTTCTTTTATCCGCCGCCGAAATCTGGTGAGGTGCCACATCATATGAAGCCGGACGCTATTAGTCTCCAGCTGCATTTACAAAATGAGCGACGACGGCTGATCGGCATGACGCCTGAGGAACGGGAATGGCGAAAGTTCGTATGTCTATCGATCTGTCAATGTCCTTTACCAGCAGCGTTTCTTTTTGCTCAGAAAGTACATCCTGGACCAGAAGCTGCACCCGGATGAGCCGTTCTATGTAGAAGAAGTTCGCATGCCGCTGAATCCGATTCGACGCTTTTACCGATATCCGTGGGACGCATTTGAACAAAAGTTCTTAATTCCGAAACTAGTACGTACATCCTCGCGTCGTATTCAAATGTGTGTTTAATGGAGCACTTATTATCCGGATGATAATTTTCAGGCAGAATATCAATGAATAGCGTCGATTACGATAAAGCATTTAATTAAATCGACATGAATGCACTTCTTAATGCAGGCCAAATCAAGGAATCGAGTCAGCATGCATTGATTTATTAAGGATACGAAGTATTTGTTGCGTTACTAAATTCACTATCTCTCATCTGAATTGAGTTTCAGTGAATAAAGGAATCAAACAACCGGATAGGATGTCTGAACTGTTCATTACACGCTTGAATTTTCAGTAAATGAAATATCTTTGCATACCTAGGATTGCGTATCAGTGGAGAATGACTAAAACATTTACGATAGTGATGATATTGTGTTAATGGCTAGAAGTCGCGGCGACCTTAGCGGGGCAGGCTATGCTGTCACAGTGAAGAAAGTAAGAAAATCAACCTCCATACCAATTTTGCGTACATGAAAAAGGATTTCGTGCCAGAATTTGAAGCGTCAGTGAGAAGGGAAAGGATTGAAAACATCACCCGCTGGGTATATCTGTGAAAAGAAGATCAGCAAGCAGAACAACATATGTTGAGGGATGTTTTCAGGGGATGAAGAGCCGGTTGCCATGTCGTTGTTTTTATCGAGATCTTAAGCTAACAGAGCCTACGCCTCACCTTAACCCAGGTTTATAATGTCTGATCGTTGCATATACCCGCTGATTTAAGTAGGACCATGTTCACAGAATCGTAGGAAGACTGCTTAATGCTACCCACAGAGAGCGCTTCAGCACCATCGTAGGATTTGTAATATCAAATAATTGATACTGAATTTTAAAGGGGAAAACCTACAGTATAAAGAAGGAAAAGTCAATTTCTTACTTTACGTCGATTCTGCGGTACTGTAAAACAGATGAAAATCTCACCTGGTAGTACCGCAGTATTACACTATCCCCTTGCTTCTGGTAGCCTGAGGGACTATTTAAGCAGTCCATGGCTCCGTATCTAAGTACGTGTAGAGCATAGGATGCGAAACCGTGTCTCTTAGTTGGGGTTAGCCAAAGCATGTTCAAACCCAAAAGCCACTGTCCGAAAGCGATGACACAGAAATAAACATGACGTCAGTGTTCTTGGGTAGACTCCGATGAGAGCATTCGATACCCCCATCAGTATATTATTTTAGAATTAATGATACCGAATTTTTAACTGCGAAAACTTACGGTGTAAATAAACAAAAAAGGGGGCGGGACAATATTGCGGTACTATCAAGTATAAATTCCATTTGTCGTGTGCTACCGCAGTATCGGTGTAAAGTAAGAAATTGATTTTTCTTTACGCTGTATGTTTTCGCCGTTAAAATCCGGTATCATCAATTTTAATATCATATCCTGACAGCGGCATCGAAAGTTGCCACTGGTGGAGTCTACTCAGAACTTGAGGTTTGTTTTCTTTCTGTATAACCTGAGTGCCATAACCAATCAGTGCTTCATTGTTCACTGTTTTTAAGGCTATATCTACTGTTATTTGAACAGTATAGTATATAGTCTCCTGTTTCATTTTCATATATGGTCAGTGTTCATTTATGAACCTAGGAAGATATTGTACCCACTTATTTTTCATGGCTCCAACCCGAGAGCCTCAGCCCCATGTGCGAGTTGTGTAATTATTTAAGCAGTGTTTGCGTCGAAAGAAGGAGCCGTATCCCGCATCGTGTCTCGTTCACTCATAGCCGGATTCACTAGAGGTCCATTTTCGCTTTGAGCAGTGAGAGATGCATTCACTCTGAGGTTGAAGAAGCACGTAGACGATCTCTGGGGACACTGTATTCTATTGGAAGAAAGTAAAATGAAATTAATGCAAAAACTGAATAATGGCGAACAATTTTAATAACATTTGGCATTAATCAAAACAAGACGAAATACGTTGCAGGATACTTTAGGAGAAGGCGAAAGGTAATCCAATGAATGGCAATAATAATGCTACTAGTTGCGTAAAACAGTAATTTTCAGGTGTCTTGACTTCATCATAGAAGACAGTAGGTTAATTATTTATTGCTCTAGGAGGTAGCGAAATGAAAGACGAAAGCGAAGAATATTGCAAATGAGAATGAATGGCAGCATACTACAGGACATGTGATTCTTCGTCGCTAAAATCTTCAAAGGGTTTTTTTTCGCATGTAGATTTTATTAGACAAAATCCACACACTTCAGATTGAGCTGGACCCATCTAATAAAATTCATATGCAAATAAAATAAACCCTTTGAAGAATTTGGCGCTTGAAAGCTTTCCATCCGCATAAAGAATTCAAGTAATCTCTTTGAAATCACGAGAAATGATGAGGACGATTCAGAGCAAGTAAGAAGAAGGTGCCGCTGAAGAATAGAAAAGGGGTTATTCGTTTTTGAAAAGATGATACTACAAATGGAGAGAAAGAAAACTTTAAAGAAAAGTTGGAATGTTGTAAAAATCGACGGAAAACGCGTTGCCTTAGAAACGCAGCAGAATTGGCCAACAGTTATGACCACGGCTCATATAAAGTGAATATTCTAAAAAGGAAAATATGACATTACGGTTCATATAGTTATTTTTATGAAATACTAATAATGATAGTAAATGCTACGTATCGAACGAAACTGTTGTCTCCAGGATGCGGATTGGTGAAACAACTTTTCCTAGAAAGAATACTGGCATGACTCGGCTCGACAAAGTCCGGAACATCTCAGACCTTGCCGATCTTCTGTGGGTCGAAAGATCACAATTGCGATGGTTTGACCATGCTATGAGGATGCCATGGCTTTCAAGACGAACTGTTTTCACAGTCACAAAACTGTATCAGGGGACAGGTCTCCTGAAGCAATTAGCCTGTCGATCCGTAAGAAATAACGTGCTTTGCCGATATAATATAAAAGGCAAAGAAATGTTATGTTGGCAGAATTGTGCACATAACCTTTAAAGTACATGTCCATGCTTGACATTGTTTAGTCGTCCGGAATTTTATTTATTTGGCGTCATTTGCTAGTATAATTAACGCTGTTTATTCCTGTTCTTGTTTCATGTCTTGTTTTTTTTAATATTCCAGGGTCTTTACTGGGGCCATTTTCTACGCGTGTTCGTACCGAAATTTATGCTTGCAGTCTTTGGCGTGGGCTTCTACTATTACACGTTGAAATACAACCATAAGGTCAGTACCGAGTTAGTCACGACGAGTTTTGTCCTTTAAGAAACGAGTCAGACGAGTGTGCTTCGCTTCTGTCTACTCATGCATTATCACAGCTATTAGAGTGTCATAGCGTACTTATAAGCATATAGTAATTGCAAACTGATTATGGTTCATGATGTCTGAGATTCCTTGATGTTTCTTACTTTTTATATTACGAAGGAAAGGTTCCTTCTCTCCAACTACATCTCCTTGCTTAGTTTCTTCTGCCACGTGATATAATGGCCATGGACTCTTTATCGGTCATCTTAGGTTTCCTTCCTGCGTTGGTAGTTGACGAGTGGGATTTAAGTGGCTCCAAATTAAAGTTCGAATCAAGGCGATGAGAGAAGATCTAGGTTAGTAATACGTTCATGAGATTATTCCTGCTGCGATTATGCTGTCCTATCCTTAACACTTGTTGTAACAGATAGAGACATCGCCTTAAGAAACACCTTATAGAAGTAGCTTGACCCTCACTGAATAATGGACAGCATAAATGTGACATGCCAGATTGATTGTAATATGCGAGTGCCCCATTTACATAAGTGAGTCTTGTAGATTATTGCATATCCTGAAATATTAGAATATGTTCGTACGCTGGAATATGTTAAATAACGCATTACTTTTGTAAGACCAAATTTCACGGTATATTGCATCACCCCCTGCTCCTAGCTGTTTAGGAGGGTCGTTTAAACACACCACGCTGTTTCGTGATACTTAAACACCATAGTGCCAGGTATCTCCAATCATTTTGTTCGCTAAAGCGACGTCACGCTCATTGCGAACGATGTTTCAGGAGGTGATACTCGTAATCCATCGCCCAAATACCGTGGAGTCTTGGCCATCTGCTGAAATGACCTCCAAACAAGGGGACAGTGCAATACGCAGTGAAATATTGTCTTTGATGAGCTGTGCATTTCTGGCTATGTCGTCCTATTGAGATGTTATTTTTTAACTGAAAAGCACAAGTTTACGCCCCTATGATATAGTTTTTTGTGTATTATGCATTTTATGTTGAATTATAATTTATAGACTTATTAGTCTCGGTTTTTATATCATCCTTTAATAATGCGAAAGTCACTTTTCGTGACGTCATCATCATTATTAACTTTTAGTATTTTGTTTAGACGTGGATAAACCGAAAGCGACATCTCTTTACACCTGCCAACAGACCACTGCTGAGAAGAGACGTGAGTTTGCTGTTCTGCCTGTTAGGAACTTAACTTTAAACAGCCAGAAACTGTGTAATGATTGCATCTGAGGGAGATTAAAAAGCAGCTGAACTGAACATTGGTATACTGTAGTTCAAAGTTGTCATCGTCATGCTTAATGATACCATCCTTTGCAATTAATGATAGTGGCTCGTTTTCCATCTTTATGCATTTTCAACAAGGCTTTCGGCTTTCTTAACAAAGTTTGCATAAAGATGTACGAAGTTTCGCTAACCCTGATGAGTATAAGGTTCATAATGATGCTCTAACGCGAGTTTCGTTGCGTAGCATTGAAGACATCACACCCCTAAAACCACATATCATGAGATTTGTACTGTGAAACTGAAATATCTGCGCCCCTCTTTTCATGAGGCTGCTGTTGCTGTGTTGATCTTCATTTCTGTGCCATGCCATCAGCCAAGAGTGTCTTATTTTAAAGGCAGAGCCGATAGCCGTTATGTAGCAAGCGTAGTGTGTAGTCTCTTGTTTCCTTCCCGCATAGTGGCACTCATTAACCAGCCTCATAACAGAAAAAGTGAGTGATCTGATCGAGTTTCGGAGCTGGGATCTCTGTCCTGAGTCTGAGGCTATGCCGATTGAACAACCCCAGTCTCGATTTGTACTGTAGTCATTGCCTAATCCTCACGATATGGATGCTCAGTACGGGTTTGGGGGAACTATTGAGGCGGGAACGCGTTAGAGATATTGCTATAATTGTGTCAATCCTCGCTGACGGCATTGAAGGTGTTTAGCATCACAGAATGAGTTTTGCAAACTAAAAATGGTTGGAAGAGGTAATTCATTCTAGGACTTTACCGTACTACATGACACAGTTATTTCAGCTATATAAGATACGTTGATAAGACTTATTTAGTTTTAATAAATTATTGTCACTTGCATCGCTTGTCATATAAAGTCCCATGCTTGAGGAGGATTTCAGCAGAAATTCTTCTCGACACAAGGTGTTCTTCTGATTCATTAATGTTGTCCCAAAGGTTTCGCAGTCACGAAACCTTTTGCTCTAGGAAAAAAGTAACAGTGTTAGACGCATACCCTTAGCGGAGTAAAAACGTGATGCTGCGAGCAAGGAGTTCAGTGTAAGCTAGAGAACTAAATTTAGTATTCGAAAGCACATCCCCTATGTTTAAAATTGTCCTCTCATCTTTCATATAAATATTACTATGATATGTATTCATTCTTTCGTTATTGTATTTGAGTGTATTTGTTATTTCACTTATGTTATCTATGTTCATTTTGTAATACTCTTAAATTGCTTAGCTTAATGCACATCTGATTCATGCTTTCAGTGTTTGTAAACTACAAAGCTGATAAAATGAAAGTTTCTGCTGTCACTCTTCTGTAGAGAAAAATCAAGCATTTGTTGGCATCGCATTGCTCACAATATCATAGTATGTTATTTTCTGTATTGCCACTGCATCAGTTTGACTAAAGAAATAACAGAAGTATATTACTATCAGCGTTGTTGCGTTTATTGTTAAACATATAGCATGGACTATGTGTTTTGGAAAGTCACAAACGCGTGAAGAAGGCATAAAATTTTTAATCCGAATAATTTTGTACAAATGCTGACGTTTCGAAGCTCTGTAACTCTGGTGACAGACCAAGTCGATATCTTTATTCAGTATGTATAAGGAAAGATTTTATGCATCGTTTGCGACTTTGAACACTTAGAACACATCAGTGTACATTAATATATAATGCGTTTTGTGACTGAGTTGTACACATTCTTGTATGCGTACTGCCCTGGTGATAACTTCTTTTTCCGGAAGCCGGAATGTAATAACAAAAAACTGTCAAGCATAAATCCTTTGTTTATGAAGACTTGGAGGCAGACAGCTTAAATTTCTTTAGTTTTTTTGGAAATTTAGACTTCCGAAGATATTACTGAGTAGGTTTCAAGGTGGCTAAAGTTTGTAAGTGTGCCCGCTACAAGAAGCATGCACATTGTTTGCTGGTCATCGAATTCCGTGTGCTGCTAAATCGTATGTATGCGCGATACTCTTCACGTAACGTTGTCATCTTTTTCAGGAAATCGAAGCGGCTTATCCGGGTTACATCGAGAAGGGTATTTATAATCCGCAAACGCCGAAAGATTTTTACGATTTGGGCTTTTCTCGACGCACATCTCATCTGGACGTTGGGAACACCGAGCGTCCTTGGTAGTCGGTCTCGGTTC